AGTGCGCATCCACCATCCCGCCTCTCGAGACATTCGAACCCAGGACCTATCAGTGTCGCGCGCGACCACCTCATAATTAGACCACTGAGTCGGCATCCAACGGTGTTAATGTCTAACTTCAACCAATCCACGAAGTTGCGCCACCGTACACCATTGTCTTCAGTGAGTTGATATCTCACAACAGACCTGGTTGAACTCCACTGGTAACGGCTTCTCACTAGAACTCCAGGAAATGCCTCTTCAAGTCAGTCACCAGTGAGCAGATGATTATTATCAGAAGGTGTTTTGTGGAGATGATTTTTACAAATTTCAATAGTTGAAATCATGAGTCAATTGAAGCTAGACCACCATGGAAAACCTGGAAGCACTGGACGGCCGTTTCGTCCTAGTATGGGACTGCTCAGCAGTGCGCATCCACCATCCCGCCTCTCGAGACATTCGAACCCAGGACCTATCAGTGTCGCGCGCGACCACCTCATAATTAGACCACTGAGTCGGCATCCAACGGTGTTAATGTCTAACTTCAACCAATCCACGAAGTTGCGCCACCGTACACCATTGTCTTCAGTGAGTTGATATCTCACAACAGACCTGGTTGAACTCCACTGGTAACGGCTTCTCACTAGAACTCCAGGAAATGCCTCTTCAAGTCAGTCACCAGTGAGCAGATGATTATTATCAGAAGGTGTTTTGTGGAGATGATTTTTACAAATTTCAATAGTTGAAATCATGAGTCAATTGAAGCTAGACCACCATGGAAAACCTGGAAGCACTGGACGGCCGTTTCGTCCTAGTATGGGACTGCTCAGCAGTGCGCATCCACCATCCCGCCTCTCGAGACATTCGAACCCAGGACCTATCAGTGTCGCGCGCGACCACCTCATAATTAGACCACTGAGTCGGCATCCAACGGTGTTAATGTCTAACTTCAACCAATCCACGAAGTTGCGCCACCGTACACCATTGTCTTCAGTGAGTTGATATCTCACAACAGACCTGGTTGAACTCCACTGGTAACGGCTTCTCACTAGAACTCCAGGAAATGCCTCTTCAAGTCAGTCACCAGTGAGCAGATGATTATTATCAGAAGGTGTTTTGTGGAGATGATTTTTACAAATTTCAATAGTTGAAATCATGAGTCAATTGAAGCTAGACCACCATGGAAAACCTGGAAGCACTGGACGGCCGTTTCGTCCTAGTATGGGACTGCTCAGCAGTGCGCATCCACCATCCCGCCTCTCGAGACATTCGAACCCAGGACCTATCAGTGTCGCGCGCGACCACCTCATAATTAGACCACTGAGTCGGCATCCAACGGTGTTAATGTCTAACTTCAACCAATCCACGAAGTTGCGCCACCGTACACCATTGTCTTCAGTGAGTTGATATCTCACAACAGACCTGGTTGAACTCCACTGGTAACGGCTTCTCACTAGAACTCCAGGAAATGCCTCTTCAAGTCAGTCACCAGTGAGCAGATGATTATTATCAGAAGGTGTTTTGTGGAGATGATTTTTACAAATTTCAATAGTTGAAATCATGAGTCAATTGAAGCTAGACCACCATGGAAAACCTGGAAGCACTGGACGGCCGTTTCGTCCTAGTATGGGACTGCTCAGCAGTGCGCATCCACCATCCCGCCTCTCGAGACATTCGAACCCAGGACCTATCAGTGTCGCGCGCGACCACCTCATAATTAGACCACTGAGTCGGCATCCAACGGTGTTAATGTCTAACTTCAACCAATCCACGAAGTTGCGCCACCGTACACCATTGTCTTCAGTGAGTTGATATCTCACAACAGACCTGGTTGAACTCCACTGGTAACGGCTTCTCACTAGAACTCCAGGAAATGCCTCTTCAAGTCAGTCACCAGTGAGCAGATGATTATTATCAGAAGGTGTTTTGTGGAGATGATTTTTACAAATTTCAATAGTTGAAATCATGAGTCAATTGAAGCTAGACCACCATGGAAAACCTGGAAGCACTGGACGGCCGTTTCGTCCTAGTATGGGACTGCTCAGCAGTGCGCATCCACCATCCCGCCTCTCGAGACATTCGAACCCAGGACCTATCAGTGTCGCGCGCGACCACCTCATAATTAGACCACTGAGTCGGCATCCAACGGTGTTAATGTCTAACTTCAACCAATCCACGAAGTTGCGCCACCGTACACCATTGTCTTCAGTGAGTTGATATCTCACAACAGACCTGGTTGAACTCCACTGGTAACGGCTTCTCACTAGAACTCCAGGAAATGCCTCTTCAAGTCAGTCACCAGTGAGCAGATGATTATTATCAGAAGGTGTTTTGTGGAGATGATTTTTACAAATTTCAATAGTTGAAATCATGAGTCAATTGAAGCTAGACCACCATGGAAAACCTGGAAGCACTGGACGGCCGTTTCGTCCTAGTATGGGACTGCTCAGCAGTGCGCATCCACCATCCCGCCTCTCGAGACATTCGAACCCAGGACCTATCAGTGTCGCGCGCGACCACCTCATAATTAGACCACTGAGTCGGCATCCAACGGTGTTAATGTCTAACTTCAACCAATCCACGAAGTTGCGCCACCGTACACCATTGTCTTCAGTGAGTTGATATCTCTTAGTTGACGTGGTTTTTCTCTCGCTGGACCGGTTAATTTATTTTCCTTTTTGTGTTATTTTTTTTATATGATTTTATTTTTCTGATTGATCTAGTTTCTCGTTATTTTCATTGTGTTTTTATGGAAATTTTTTTCATATGTTTACTCACTTATCTGCAATTTATCAATGTTATTAGCAGTGATTTTCTTGTATCCTTAATTCCTGAGACAAGCAAACTCACTCTAACAGTAATTTGTACTGATCTACACATAACTTCCAGAGGGACTAGAATTAGTGTCGTTGAGTCACTTGACTAACATATTACGGACATTATCGGATACCCGGATCTGTACCGAAATAACACAAAACTAGCTGAAATAAATCACTTGGTTTATACTAGCTCGTGATAAAGATTTTGGATTCGCATGATGGTCACCTAACATATTTTTAAAATTACTGAGATATACTGATCATATCTTCACCCTCCGCCAAATATTAGGACACCATCATACTTATTAAGGTCCAACAATTGTTGTGTTTCGTGACGTTAGGGCCGCCTTCGATTCGTTGAACAGGGCTGTTCTCTAGGATTGTTTATTGAAGAAGTGTGTGCCTGAGAAGTTTATTAACATCTAAAAGCTCTATGTACAAACACTCCAGGCAGATTGAGGGCGTACAACCACTTTTCTCTACTGTTCAACTCAATCAATAGGGTTAGAGAGGTTTGCTTAGTTTCACCATTCCTCTTCAACTTTGCCATCGATGACGTTCTAGAAACAGCCCTGATGGATGTAAGTGATGGCGGTGTAGATCTGCTGCCTGGAGAAAGACTTCTCGACCTTGAGTATGCGGATGGTATTGTCTTACTGTGCGATAATGCCCAAGCCATTCAATCCGCACTTAATCAGTTGGCAATCAGTGTCCGTAGGTATGGTATATGCTTTGCACCTTCGAAGTGCAAAGTACTTTTACAAGACTGGCAGGATTCTGGTGAGCAGATAGAAGTAGTCGAGAAGTTCGTGTATCTAGGTAGCTGCATAAGTGCTGGTGGGGGCGTGAGTGATGAGATCAATCCACGTATAGTGAGAGCCAGAGCGGCTTATGCCAATCTGGGCCATCTCTGGCGCCTTCGTGATGTTAGTCTGGTTGTAAAAGGTCGGATCTACAACGCGTCTGTGAGAGCAGTCTTGCTCTATGCTTGTGAAACCTGACCTCTCCGAGTTGAGGATGTTAGACGACTCTGTGTTCGATCATCGCTGTCTCCGAAGGATTGCTGACATCCAGTGGCAACACCATGTTTGTAATGCAGAGGTTCGGCATCGTGTGTTCGGACACAGAGACGATAATGCACTTGGTGTCACCATCTTGAAACACCGACTTCGGTGGCTTGGACATGTTCTACGAATGTCGTCCCAGAGAATTCCACGTCGTGCATTAATTGCCGATGCTGGGACTGGTTGGAAAAGGCGGAGAGGTGGTCGGTGTATGACGTGGTGTCGTGTTATGAAAGAAAGCTGCAAAGGGTTGGCTTCTGTTGGTCCTTCACGACTTCCTGGCTGGGGTCCTAGAAATGGTGCGATACAGTGGCTATAGACGTTATCAGATATGGCTCAGACTAGAAGCCAGTGGAGATTCTGCTGTAACCTTCTTTTACTTTCTTCATAAAAAGTGGTTGCTTCTCCCTTAACCGAAAGATTTCTTCTGATTGTACCTTTTCGTTTCCCCGATTATTATTATTATACTACCTTAACTAATCTGTATGTTATTGTTTTCTTTACGCTCCCTACTTCTTTTTCCTTCTTCTCTTCAAATTCTCATTGTTTTGTGTGGCGCATATGTATTTGGTGCCCTCCTGTACCAATATTTACGTGTTCAAAATAAAAAAATAGAAAACAGGAACTTTCACTATTAGTTATAAATAAAGAATCAAGTAGAATAAGTAGGCAATGAATTTGTTACCGTATAACAATTACAATAACCTTTACACTTTAGTATTTTGACAGAAATATATAAGTAAAAAATTAAGGAAAAAAGCGTTGCGGTTGTTATTATTATTTAGCAGCACAAATATGTGAAATTTTTATTAAGAAGTTAAGCACGTGATTTAACATTAACATTCAATCATATGAACGATTAATCAAGGTTACACCTTAGTATTGTTGTTACTTAGATCAACTGTAATACTATGAGTTAAGAATAAGCTTAAGAAACAATTAAACGAGGAAAAAAGCAGTTGTGAAAAAAAAGCATTTCATTGGTAAACAAATATTGACATGCTGAGTTGCATAGTTAAGACTCAATCAAGTTTGTGATTATTAATATTAGAATTTAAAAAATTGCTTCCCATCAAATGGTCATAGTTTCAATAGATTGATAGATATGTTTCAGTATTCTTCTTCATAAATAATTAATTTAATCAAGAATCATTCTTTGTTTGCCCATTGTCATGCCAGCTTGTGAAGCACCTTTATTTGTACCATATTGTAGACTAATCACATTCGCGCCTTCACGTAATTGTTCGTCAGTGAATTCACGTTTATTCTCTTGAGCTAATTTTGGACCTAAAGTAGGGCCATTGTATTCCGGATGTGTTTGACACTGAAAAAGTTTTTTTTGAGAAGATTAAAGTCATTTTAATTAGGGTAATGGGCTGTGAAAAATGACCATTAAAAACGTTTATCAATTAATTAAATATTAACAGTGGAATGTGGGAACATCCCAAATTGAATGAAACATGAACTCTGGATCCCACTGTTAGCCACAATCTATCCATTCCAAAAACTTGTGGAAATATGACTTCATAGAGGCAACCCACTCAGGATCCACAAATGACAATAAAGACTGATCAATAGCAGATTTAGATTTTGACAAACCATCATTAGTAACGGAATGATAATTCAGTTTAAAATGGGTTGAATTCTCCCATTGTTGATATTTTTCACGGAAATTTGATCAGTCTGTTAGCCGCGTTCCATCTAATACAGTGGTTTTGAATTGAATGGTACCGCGTTGGAGTCATGGAGTGAACATCAACTCTGGAATCCAGGTACATCCAGCTAACAAGTTCTGAATAGGATGAAACGAGTGTCCTGGATTAAGTTGCTAATCATATTCCATTTATTTGATATCAGCTTGAATTATAATTGTTTGATAATCTTCAGTACTTAGGAAAACATTTATGATATATATAACAGAAAAATATTCTTTCCAATAAATTTTTATGAAATTCTACAGATGTGAGTTGGTCAATCATTTGTAAAAACAATAGGCTAGATAAAGATATGTCTTGACTCAGGTTGTCAAACTGTATCAGTGCGGAGGAGTGAAAATAACAAATTGAATAACAGGGAAGTAGAATCAAAAGTACCGTACGTTATAGTGAAAATATTTACTATGTAGAATATATTCAGAGATAATGTAATGAAATCTATGAACACAAAAATATGAATTATTATTGAAATCTGCAATTTGGGATGAGATAAAGAATGAATGGATCTTCATCACCTTTTAATTGATTTAGTGATACGTCAACTAAACTCTCAAACTGTAGATAACAATTATCGTATGGAATCTAATTGGGTAGACTGCTTCTCTTTACACTGTCCAAACTAATAGTAAATGACTTCATAAATAATGCTGTCTTGGCTTCGTAGCTCCTAGCTTTCTCAGGATAGTTTGTCAGCGAAAACGGTGGCTGAGGATTGCGTAATTGTTAAAATGACTATTAAGTGATTTATGTTTGAATAAGGTTTCAAATCCAATAAAACTGTGAGGTTAATAATAAGAATAAATATCAGTGAAATATAGTGAACAAAATTTGAGATATCCTATGCGAATCTCATAATCTATGAAATGATATAAAGTGAAAGTTAGTGAACATAGAATTTGCTGAAGAAAATTTAAATAAAGTACTTATTTAATTTTATCAATTTATAAAATGACACACATAAATATTAAAAATTTAATCGTATGAATGATTTTGTTCATAAATTTGCGTGGTTTAAGGAAAAATAACCTTTAAAGTGAAGTAATTTTTTTCTCATGAAGAGATTTATGCATTCAGATACATTTTGTGTGCATACAATCGTCAATGATACTAGTCAACTGACTAAACAAAAGCTTAGAATTTAGTAGGTTACAGCCAAGATTTTGACTGTTTAAATCATTAAACTACATCACACCAAAAAATTATTAGAAAGTTTTCTAAGAAAGATGATTTCATAGTCACTCAACATATGTTTATAGTATACAAGATTATAGAGATTGATGAATTTCGTAGTTTTACACTATGGTCCCATTTCATTTAAATAGTTATTGGAAGTCAGTAAGCAGTGAAATTGCTTTGTCCTAGTTTTAAACACCGCATCAATATTTATCCTTGAACATACTAGCGATCAAACTCAGGACTTCAAGATCTCGTAATGAGCAATTAAACTTCAAACAACAATTAACACCCAATCAGTTCATGATATCTATCATAAAAAATAAACAAATATAGCTTACTGTTCTTCCAAGAGCATAAATACATTGTGTCACTTGAGCAATATCTTTTTTCTCAAATAAATCGACTGTTTGAAAAACATCAGCAGTAGGTACCCCGTATGCCTTAATTGCTTCTTGAAATGCATTAATATTTTCCATAATTTTAAATGGCATAGTAGCGTTCTCATTGATTCTCTTCACACTACCAGGTTTTAGTTTATTGATAACTCTAATAAAATATGGTAGAAAATACAAGGACTGTGGATTAAATTGTTCTATGTACAAAAAACTTACAGTATTTGAATCTCGTGCTAAAAGTTATCAAGTAGGCAGATCAGAAAGATGATGATCTTCGATCAATTCAGTTGATAAGATCCTATACAGATAAAGACTTAATTTGATATTGACATCTTTTAGATTAGTTTAGGTAACGTTAGGTTTCCAATACTTGTGCTTTCCAATTGTGAGAATAAATTAGCTAATTGAATACGTTTACTGATAATCCAGTAAATACTTTATGTAAAGCATGAAAGAGCAGATTTTCTAACTGTCAACCTGTTTATCATAGATAAAACTGAAAAATCGTTAAACAATACATCCATATCACAATTTGTAAAAGATTTTATTTACTGAGTATTGTTATTCGAGATTGAATCTGATCAGTTTTTACTAGCATACGGACTTTTCAAATGGATGTTAGGACTTTTCACATAGTTGTGACAGAAGAGACTGATTAAATCTGGTCATGAATATTAGCAATATGAAATGCGAATTGGTGTACAACTTTGTGGAAATTATTTGATTTTATAGTGAACATCATGGAATGATATTATTTAGACATTCTTTAAAAACCAAGAAGCAACAAACTGGTGTTTCACTCCATTATGTGAATCCCTAAGAAATATGCAACCACAACCTTTTGCAGGGTCAAACCTAGGACCTTTGAGTCTCGTGACGATCACTTAATCTCTGGACTACCGAGCGGCATCTAATCATTTTAATAAGACTTCAGTCAGTATTTGGAACTAATCAGAATGAATGAGGATTGATGAGGGACCTCACAATATTACGAAACAGCTGTCCAGTGATTCTTCGTCTTTAGTTGTTTTCTTATAAATATTAGTCTGTGATGTAAATTGTCCAAAAACAGTAATAAACACTGAAAGTTAAAGATGTCTCATAATTTTCAAATAAGTGTGACTATTATGACTCAATGTTGAATTAAATCATCCGTTGACCTATAGGGTTGTGGGTAATTGATCTAAGACTAAGTGTAAACAAAAACATTATGATAGAGTCACACCTCAGTTGTCGAGTTCGGAGTAGTAGGAAACACTCATTGCTGATTTCAGAGTGAGCTTTCATCCCGAAATGTAACTACATTGTATAACTTCTACATACTCATAAAAATAATTTTACTTGTCAAGAAAAATGATTTTAGTACAGGAATTATTGTGCAACAAAAATATGTTTTAGTATAGATCGGTTAAGATATTTTCATTTAATAATCTTAAAATTTGCTCTAATAAAATCTTTTTACTTTTCTGAAGATAAGTCGATACATATCATAACTCTGATATTCATATTTTATCATCAGAAAGGGCTTGAATTGTTGCGTTGCTGATATCTAGGACTGAATTTTGGTCAGGCTTCGAACAGAAATATATGCATACCAAGTAGATTGTCTAGATAAAGCAGTTAAGTCATAAGTTTTTAGAATGGATGAATTTTGACTGACAGCAGAATTCAAGGTCCATGTTTCGTCGTGTTTGAAAATCACCAGCCGAAATTGAGTGCAAAATATCAAGGATGTGATACTTAAAAGCCCTTTCTGTGATTAGAGTATAAATCCCACCCGTTGAACAAGCTAATATCTGTTAGCTATGTCCACAACTAACCAATCAAATTGTTGTTTAAGCGCCCACCACGTTGATTTAGTCTGATGTGTCTGTAAACCATCTCTGTTGCATGTGACCTACCAATTAAAAGACATTATCATCCTATTATGTTAGTGTGACTCAGTTTTATCCATTTCGATAAGACACGCAATACTGGTGGAAACGGATAAAGTTTGAAGCCAAGTTGTCCTTGTTCTGACTATAGCTTTCACATAGACTCTGTGCTCGCCAGTATCGCGTTTACGGTTCTAGTAGTATATCTGTAGGACAAATTAATTCCTACAGTATCTATCTGAACTCAGTAGCTCAGTGGTTGCTAGAGTTAGGATAATTCTTACACGAATCAAAATATCAAGCAGTTCGAAGCTTCGCATAATAATTGACTTACTTGCAAAGTAGCACTCCATCTTTCAGTACCTCTTCATATGGTTTAGAACGGTCCACCTTGGTGCCAAGTACGGCCTCTATCCAATCAAGTACACTTTGTTCTTGATCTCTGTCTCGTTTTCCTTCAAGCTAAACAAAATAAACAATCCCATGGAATACTTGAACAAGATAACACCACAAGAATAATATTTTGCTGTCGGGGAAGAGATTAAATGGAGTTTTCTATTAGCTCAATTGATTTAAATACATAAGACACCTAATATTTACCAGTCTAATTGAAGGAAGATAAATGTTCTTTTTTGCAGTGAACACGGGTTACATTAACGAATTTACACGTACTCTTACAAACAAGTATATGAAAATAACTAAGGTAAAGGAATCTCCGAGGTTTTTTGACCACATTCCTTGAAATCAATTTATAAAAGAGAGAAAACGTTTCAAGTACGATGGTCAGTTACTCAGTGGATAATGAATACGAAGTGAATAACTCGAATTTTTCGGAAATAATCAACAGACAACGAACCTCACATTCAGTGCGTTTTGCAGACATCATTGTCTTCACGCATTTTTGACCTAATCAATATACATAGAGATAATCGCAATAAGCTTAAGTGTGTTGAGATAAATTAATTTTAGTGGGAAAAGTTCTTTCATTGCATAATCTGTTATTTTATTGAACTCCTGACTTTCACTTATTCAGTTAACTTTATTTTTAGTTATGTTGTCTTAGTAATGACTTATTTTGTTACTGATATTGATGCTCAGATAAATAGACATCAAATTATAGTAATTTGTATCCAATGTGGTAGTTTGTAGTTTAAATCATGGACAAACTTTATATAGACACCCATTGAAAGACAATTTGGACTGGACGTATGTTGCTTCCCAGTGTAGGACTTCTCAAAAGTGCACAGATAGAATCTAGGAATTTTCGATGTCACAGTAAGCCTACAACAGAGGAATCACATCTGTGATAAAGCATATGTTTAGCACCGCTTTCGGTGTTTCTCAGTGCTTTTCTAAAAAACATTAGCAAATGCTGTAAATTATCTCCTAATTAAGTAATGAATTTCATAATTGAACTTTTTGTTCGGAATAACTAGTGTAAGACTCACCAAGGAGTCGAGTTAAGTGAATTACTAAACATCTACTCAATACCTCATATTATATCAGGTATTGTAATTAATCAACTAATCTATCAGTCATAAACAAGTTATTGAACAACTCTGTATTGATCCAAGACAATATACTTAAGATTAGGATAGCCAGAGAATGAGTTAGTGAAATAAAAAAATAAACTGAATGAGATAACAGTAACGATGCTATCAAAAGTCCATGTGTACATGATGTGATTCCTAAGAAACAAGTAAAACTGGTCAGTGAAAATTCTAGAGTGACATTAAACTCAAAACTTAGAGCAATATAACAAATTAATTAATTTTGAATTGTATCATCCAAAATATTCAAGTATATAGATTACGATAATCTAACTAACGCTCATGGAGTAATCTGTCTTCTGATATTGTTTAGTTCAACAATCAGGTATTGGGAATCAATACACAGAGTAAACACAGTTTGTGTTCGAAATCTTTTCATTAAAAGATCATTGAAAACAATTTTTTAAAAATTATATATACTACTGGATAGAGTAATTAATTAAACTATTTGATCCTGTAATTTTTTGTCCAATTTCCCTTAAAAAACTTTGATGGTTCGTTTGTTTGTTTTTTGTTACAGAATGAAATTTCGAAACAAAATGATATTTAATGAATTTAAGGTCATGTAAGTTAGATGAGTTCATTGTGAACTAGTTAAATAACGCAGAGAATAAAGATGAATGCTTTTATTTTTAAAATAATGAAATTGAATACAGATATAAATTTAAACATTTTGAAACTGAAAAAAAAACAGATCCAATGTGTTTGAATACTCAGTTAGTTAGTTAGTTAGTTAGTTAGTTAACGATCATTATGGAATTTGTGATTGATTATTTATATAATATTCATAGACAGGGAAATTAATTTAACAAGTATATTTTGCCATTGTTATTCACCTTTATTTTGATTAACATTAGTTCAATTATCTTCTTTTCATTTTATGAGACTAAAAATTAAACATTAATTGTGTTAAATATTTAAAAAGGGAAAACCGAAAGTTGTTCATTTTTATCATAATGATACACTGTTCATTTTACTGTATTTTTGTATAAATCAAGAAATTTACAATAAAAGGTTATTCTTGGAAAGTCTGTTAAAAATAAACCTAAGCTTCATGTTAGTTGGTATTGGTTAGAAATGTGTACCTGCAATATTGATTAAACTGATAGTCACTGAATGATTCGAAACTGCGTGATTGAAAGAAGACTAGACAAATTGGATATTGGTGATTACTCAGTAATCCGTCATTTGTAGATATTTAAACCCTATTGGAGGTCGGTTGTAGCCTGAATGGTTCAGTGGTGATGTATGAGACATTGAAGTTGGGTGATTTCGATTTGTATCCCACATAACAGAGCATCAGTCCCCCTAAGATTGTTGTTACTTTCTGCGGACGAGTACCAAATAGTATGAAATATGATCCCAGATTTTACTGACGACTAACTCAAAAGAATTAAACAAATCTCTTAAAATTATTATTCGAACTAATTTAGATTAGACAGTGATAATGAATTAAACAGTTGTACGGTTATTATTTTAATATATCAAACACAGAAATGCCATCCGTCTAATATTAGAAAGAGTGTTATAGCTTATGTTGTTAGTTTAATATAGTCACTTCATACCATTTGTCAACACGGTAATTTCAGTAATAGACATCTTATCAAATGTATTAGATACGCTTTATTATTCCATAAAATCCCTGAATGTTACTCTGAAACATGCAGAGAGATGTAGCCTTCCTAAATGAAGACCACGTGTTCAAAGTGATAAATTGTTAGTCGCGGGTAGATTCTTCAAGGGTGTCCCAAGCTATGTAGTAATGCTATTCAGGCCAAAATTAGTATTTATTATTCATGATTGTTAGGTCGACTTTTAACAGATAATAGAAAATTGATTTTAGCTTGGTTTTACAGCCTGTTTATAAGAATATCATTGTAAAGCTTTCAGTGTATTAAAACTAATCATCTCAACTCTGAGCTAAATTTAATGAAGTAGGTGAACCGTATAAACGATGGAATGAATAACACTAAATTAAAAAATGTTACTATTCAAAAACAAGTTTTCAAAGAAACATGAAATATTTGATATTATTTTCACCATAGTTTGTGACTAAGGAGCAGTCGATGCTTTACAAGTGGCCAAGTTCAGGATATCTGTGTCTTTATGCGATCATAATGAAATTGAGTCATTGAGATGAGAATCAATAATTTATATTTGGTTCACAACTTTAATCAATTATATGTATACTATGGTGATTACATCACACCAGATCTTGATTGACTCAACAGGTTATTTCAGCTAGTTTAATGAAAGCTATTTTATTCTTTCTAGTATACTCTCATCATAAGGAACTTTGTTTGTCATATGTTCTCTGATAGACAAAGATTTAATCACTCATCAGGTTTATTAGTCAGTAAGTTTAATATTTAAATAAAATACTTTACTATAATTCAAATAATTGGTTCATTTTTTTAAGATTATTGAATCATAGATTGGTTTCATTATAAAAATAATTGAATTTTGACGAAAAGCTCAAAATATCGAAATCATTAATTGTATTGAAGTTAAAAGGCTGGGGTTATCCGCAAATTTTCCAATGTTCAATAGATGTGAGGTATCCAGCTCTTTGGTGGGTGAGCCCTAGATATCAGGAGGCAATTTGACCAAAGAGTTCATTTCAAGCCTTTGGAATTATGCACATTTGTTTGCCGTGCACATGTCAGTGTGAGGAAGCCCGGATCATAAACTTATATATGATGGCAGCCAAGGATCGAAACATAATCTCTAATTATAATTACACTCTGCTGCGCAGCACTCAATAAATGACTGAAGAAAATATATAAAAGTACTGGAAATACATCTACTAAACATTAGAAATATCGCTAATAACATCCGTCAATTTAAATTTTTCGATCGAATTTCACACTTAGTTATTATTTCATACTGACATCTAGGATATTTCCATTCTTTTTTTTATTCTAACGTGGTAGACTACAGAATAAATACCTGCGTTTCAGCTGAATCAAAGTATTTATCTGTTAAGAATTAAGTTCATTTTTTTTCTAATTAAACGATGAAATCATAAAAAAAGTCACTTAACGTATCATACTAAAAGTAAATCTTACATATTAAAATGCCTTTATTTTAACTATATCTACATAATTGGATAACGCGTTGGGCACTCAAGACAAAAGATAATAGGTTCGAGGTTTGGTAATTATCGTAGGACGGCGAAATTAACAAGATGGGATAGAAAAGAGCTAAATCAGTAGATAATTGAATAAATATAAAAAATTCACATCGAAAAACGACATGAATGGGTAATCAAAAGCGTAGTGTTATGTTGGATCTTAAAATTCAGGGGAATAAAAAATGATGGATGCATCTATTCCATTGTGATTGATTTTTAGCGGTTTTTAATCACTAATCATCATTATCGTCCAGTTCAATAATTATTGGAATGGAATAACTCAGTCGTGATTTAGCCACCTTCAACTTTCTCAGACAATCAAAATTTACAAAATAATAGACCGTATTTTTCAATTTACTGATTACCCTACATCTAATCTCAACATTACATAATTGTGATATTACGAACTAACAGTGTAATCTACATAGTATTCAAGTTGATTAATGATTAAAATATAATTTCAATAATTGAGATCATGAGTCAATTGAAGCTAGACCACCATGGAAAACCTATTGTGGGAAACGGCCGTCTGGTACTTCCAGGTTTTCCATGGTGGTCTAGCTTCAATTGACTCATGATTTCAACTATTGAAATTACTATAATATCAACAAAAAACCCTTCTGATAAAATAAATCAGTTAACACAAACAGTACATTTAAATTATTTATGTTACATGTTCGGTAAACCATGTACACAAATTAGTAAAAGCTTGAAGTATTGAATTTTAATACTGTTTTATTATTATGAAATTATTTGTAAAGCTAATATTGAGTAAACTTAATTAAATGTCATTATTTTTGAAGATAATTATTGATAATTATTAATCTGAAAAACACTGCATAGATGGTTCAACGAATTTATCTGAGTATAAGAGGTGTATAGGAAAGTGATAATAATGCTGAAAATTCTACAACTTCATGAACGCACACATGTAGATGTATACACATACTATGTCCTTAATTTTTCCCAGTTAGTTAAGTGCAGTTTAGCTTCAATAGTATCAAAATCATTGTAAATTTCACATACAACTATGGTCACATAAAACAGTCTAAACATTTCCTCTTTTTATTAAAATTAGTTTTTTTTATGTAATGCCTAGAAGTTATATATTGACAAATAAAAATAAAATAATTTCGATTGTTTGTTAATAAAGTAAGTTGAAAGTAATTGAAAAATAAGACGAAGCACTTAAACTTCAGGTTGTACTTTCTGTATGATGGACGATTGAAAATACGTGTTGTAAGAAGGATTTTACTCGAATTTCATACTTTACATAACAGGATGAATATAGTTTGACAACCATTGAAAATCAGGACACGTTAAACAGCTATTTGACACCAGTATAGGACTTCTCAGTAGTGGGGAGTGTCCTCAGGTTAGTCAGCTCTTGCAGTGAGCGTTTGAACTACACTAAGTCAGCATCCAGTAATTCACAGTTTCAACCTTGAATAATGATTGCTATTTTCGAGTAAATTTGCCTTAGCTTTTATCAAAGTATACTAGATTGGACAAATACATAAAAATCTATATCTTAAAATAAAAATTACCTTTCTTTTGACTTGAGCACTAAGTCCACTAGCTAAAGGTTGATTGGCCATAAATCCGCGGGAAAAATGTACTTAAAACAACTTTCGTTTTTCTGATAGTAAAAGAAAGAAAGTGATTTTAATTTGTGCTAGGCTTGGTATCTGACTTTCTCTTAAATTCACCATAATAATTTAACCAATGTAGTTGATTGAATTCGACTTGAACCAATCAAATTCACATTAGAACACATTTATAATTGTGTGTGACAGTCACGAATTGAACCATTTGAAATTGTTTAAAAATAGGGAATTCTTTATTATAAGAGAAATTTTCAATCAGATATATGACATGAAATAGATCAAGGTCATTTGTAGAATTTATATTTGTGTGGGCCTCAACACTATTCAAGGATACACACATTTTCTTTGGACATATATACATATATATATAGTAAAATTTAAGTAAGAATTTCACTACTACATCTGTCGTATGTATATGTGTTATATCCGATCTGCCCATTAACACAACACATTAAAATGATAGAAATATGAAGGAGAGTAGTAGGATATTATCGGTTAATATTGATTTTCACTACAATTTTCATGTGTAAACAGATTGCATTTTCAGATAATTTTGCATAATCCTTATTTGGATATGTGAAAATACAATCTTTAAAGTTAATAATCCGTTTAATGTCACTTATACAAACTCGAAAAGAATTATATATATAATACAATTCTCATCAGTCAGTCGATGGATAGCAAATGCTTTTAAGGGCATTAAAAACTTTTAGATGGCAGTTTTAACTGTGACATATGTGCTAGCTGTTAAGCTATATGTATATAAATCTCTGTGTGCATTATGCAATCAATGGCTCTTTTTGTTTACCAGATTTTATATATAATCGTCAAAAATATTGGATCAAGTTAGAAACCGTAAGTCTAATCTTCTCATAGAAAGTCAATCCTCCTAGTTTAAATAACCACCGACATAAACTAGACAACCATTAAAAACCAAGAAACACAGGACAGCTGTTTCGTCCCAGTCTGGGGCTCCTCAGTAGTGCATGCTCACTACCTCAAGACGAAATCGATCCCTGGACATTTGGACTCATGAGCGAACACCTGACCTTGAGATCACTGAGTCTGAATCCAATGCTTTACATGTTAATGTTACAATAGTTAAATAATAATATGGAGAAAAGTGTCGAAATTATGTAATAATGTAAAGGTAAATCGTATATGTGAGAATCACTTTGTTTGTTTGCATCACCACTTTTTGTTTACCATAAATATACAATAATTTACACTAACAGTACAGTTCATTTTCAGAAAACAAACACTATATTAGAGAGTCATTTTCTGTTGTTCAATTTAAGTTAACGGTAACTTTTTCTAAACACATAAAGCATCAGTTTCAAGGGTTCGCTGAAACTATTTGCAAAGTTTAAACAAGCACTCAATTCAGAAGTCTTCAATTCATTTAATAAATTTGATCAATATGATGAAATAGTTAATTTTGTAAAGTGCCAGAATAACTGTATTGATCAGAATAACATTTATCTTCAGTGACCGTCTAAGTATTATAAAATACAGAACATTAAAGTAAGGATTCTGTGAAGATTGGGAAGTTTATAGTTTACATCACACAACGACATTAGTCTGACAACACATAACTCAAGTACAATGGTTTTCAGCCGACTAACTTCAATCGGAATCAAAGTAATTACGTTTTGTTAGTTTCGCAGTCTTAAATTGAAATGTCACAGTTATATTGATCAGCAAATTCAATCCAACTATTGAATATATGTCAATTTTAGTAATTGTCAGTTTCTACTTTCGATGTTATTTTTAGAGTCAATCAAATCACAGTTGGATTCAACCTCACTTTTTTCTCTCTTGAAAGTAAACACTTGATTTAGTCCTATACAGATTCAGTTGATAAATGACATAAGAAAAATTAACATCAGAAAGAGTTACAATTTTGATTATTTTTAGTTTTTATCAAATATCATTATTTTAACAACAGTTTAGTTTAGATTTATTCTGAGTTTTTAAAAATGTGTAAAATAGTACATACCGTTGTTGATTATTTCATGATAACATATTTATGTTCTGTGTTTTATAACCATACAGTTTCATAGTCATTCATCAATAATAAAACATATTTTATCTTACATAAATCATTTTTAGGAAAAAATAAACAATGATCTTGAAAACTAGGGAAATGGTAGAAAAAACTGTTTCAGAAAGTGTCTCTAGTCTCTGATCGTTGTATTACGGAACTCAGTGATGGAAAATTACAGGCACTTCACTAATATGTTGAACAATTTAGTGGTTATACGAACTTATTAACTTAGTAGTAAGTTAATTTCGAATAAATTGAGCATTGGGTTGATTGTTATTTTTATTTAGTAGTAAGTTGTTAGATATTTCAATCAAAACACGCTACGTCTAAAACAGCGTGAATATTAACATTGAAATTCAGGTATCTCATCCAAATAACAAGTTCTGAATAAGACGAAATGAGAATCTTGGTTCGCAGTGTTAGTCACATGACGAAAATGCTAATATTAATGTTCCTTTAATTAGTATCCCAGGATCGATTTAAAATGTATGTTCTGTCTACAAAAGATTTGGAAACAGTTATTGGAATAGAACAAATATCTGTTAGAAAATGGTGTGATACGGAAAATATAAAACTTGGGAAACTAGGCTTTCAATATTCTATATGTGTTCAAACCATCATCACTTGAAATCGAGTTCAGGGGCTTTCATCTTAATATGGTTGAACAGTTAGGTAATATATGAGTTAACTGTATAAAAATAGGACGACATTGGTGAAATCAATATTTTTACAATAATGTTAATGATATTTTGCAACACAATGAATATGATTTTGATGTCATCCTAACAAATCACTTCAAAGCAACAGTTTATACGTATCAATGATGAATGTAAGTACATGCAAATAGGTGATATATGATATATATGCCAGCTTTGAAAACCATGTTAAGAGAGGACGCAAATACTACTTTTGGAACAAAGACAATTTTCTCATAGTTGGTCTAGTAAATAACAATAATTATTGTTTCAAGATGAACTGATCACGTAAAATTAGTACGATTCACTTCAACAAAGCAGTACTTTGAACTTACTAAACGTATTTCTTTCACTGTAGCTGACCATCTGAAACATTTATCCGCATTATTCTTTGAAAGGTACCGAACGCCTAATAACGTTTTGGAACAACAATTTTTTTCTGATTGTTTCATAATTAAAGGTGAGTTAACTCAACTAAGAATGTAAGATATTTTTCCGGTTAGAATTTTTAAAATATCAGGCATCTGGATAACTCCATGTAAATTTCATCATCTGAAATATTACTTTTTTGAAAACATTTGATCGACGTAACGTCTACCTAACAAATAACTATCTCATTGATTTCAATATTAATTATTTGATGAGATGAACTAGTTATAGTATCCTTCACGTACAACTGTTCGTTGTAATAAGAATGCTGAGTAGCTATGGAAAACTTTATTGGAAAATTTATAAACTCTGCTGCATTCATTATTTGAGTTTAGTTGATCAACGAAATACTGGTTTTAGGAGCTTGGGGTACCATTGAAAACAAGGAAGTAATGATTATCTGTCTCGTATTGGTGTGGGATACATCGACAGCGTACATCGGCTAACCCACCCGGATATCAAACTTAGGAATGTCAAGTGTCACTGCAAACACTTAACTATTTGAACAACTGAGTTGCTATCTAACAGTTAACAATTTTAATTCTAGTCTATTCGCATTACTGTGTGACAAACAATCAACACCACTCGTGACGAGTGTTTCACTTCCGACAAGTCTGATCTCCAGCAGTTATGACTTTCCATTCGAACGTCACTCATTGGCATATTTTATTCATCACAGAAGTGTAAAATCAGTTTGTTGTC